CCCCTAGTAATTGTGGATAGGGGGAATATGTGGTCCATAGTGGATGAAGGTGCTCTTGGCCGGGGTTGCTTCCTACTAATAGTGAACTTAGGCTAATCCAGTCGCATGTGCTTAGTCTTGTCAAATTGTCAGCCCACAGATTCAGTCGAAAGACATAAAGAGGTATAAAGTGGTGTGTTGATCATGCATATCATTCCATAACCATATGTGTGGATTTATGAGATATGTTATATGTTTTGCTTTGCCACTTCTCATATGCACAAACTATTCTCACACATAAGTAGTTGATTAGACTATTTAGTTACTGAGTCCTCGACTCACCCTGTGATTACATTTTACAAGTGAAGGCTTCAATAGGAGTAAGGGAAAGGGAGGCACAACCGAGCATTAAGGGGACTAGCTCTCAATTGTATAGTCCTTTCATTAAATTTTGGTTTGTAATGAATATTATATGCATATACCGATGTAGGACATATATATAATTTTGTGACACGTTTGCATGATTTCTATTGTGACTATAGGTATCTTAACCTAGATTTGTTATATCTATGTTGTAAAGGCTGTAAGAGGTTGAGATACTAGTGTAAGTGTTAGTTTTGTATTGATATATGGGATAGATTAGCCATTAGATTGTTTATGAGAAATTGTTACCCCTAGTAAAATTTATGTTAAATTTTGGAGTTTTGGTGGCCAAAACTTGTTTGGACTATTGTGGTTGTGATTTGAATACTTGAACAAGTTGTTTATGATCCATTTAAGTTGGTTTAAGTGGTTTCGCAGTTATTGGCACTTGGTTTGGGGGTTTGGGTACTTTGGTTGTGATTTTTGAAATAAAATGTGTCATTTTGGGTTCGAGTGTCCAAATCTCATTTGACTTAGTGTTTAGGTATGGGACCAGTACTAATAGCTAGGTGACTCTAAGAGCTACATGTGGATACTTGAATCGCTTGAATTGGACGTCGGATAATGGCATGCTCTGAAAGTTGGCCAGAAGAGTTGTCATGATAGCAGTTTGTTGTCATGATAGTGGTCGTGCGCCACGGCGCATTGTCCATCGCGCCACAGCACGAGGCACAAAGAGGGGGCATTCCCTTTTATGCAGTCTGCCATGGCGGACGATGCCCTACACCGTGGCACACTGTACCTATATGACTAGAATATTTTATGTTATATATTGTAGTCTATTGAATTTCTTATGCTTTCATTGGCTTATTTAATTGGTTTTAAATCGTAGTTTGAGCTCAAATGATTTTTTAAAAGGGTTTTTCTCGAGATCCCATTTTCTTAAACATTTTCTAATCCTTATGTTATGATGACCATTTTTATTGGGATTAGACTAATTTCGATTATCATAATAGTATTTTGTGTTTGGTGTTCTGTGTGTTTGGTTAGTCAGGGATGACGCTACATAAGGCACACCCAAATTTATATGAATGTCTTCATTCTGCTTAAACTCTTCTTGGATCATCCTTCTTTTTATCTTTATGTTATTCAATCATGTGTATGGTATGCAAATGATGACTTCAACTTTCCTCTTCTTCATGCTTATTCTCATTTTTACTTTGGACAATTGAAAATGATATATTATGAACAAAATAGTTAATCCAAGTATCAATATACATATAAGTATAGGTATGAAGAATATAGAACTATGCATATAGTTAACTCATTTATATTTTTCATCATCAAAATTTAAGCTAAACAAAATGTCACAAGTCATTATGTCCAACAATCCTTCCTTGCTAATTTGCTAAATTAGGGTAAAATAATCAATTTGATAGGATAACTTAAGCATAACATCTTTTCTTGTTAGTTCTTTTATTTTGCTTTTAACCTCCATTAAAAAATAATCAATTTCCCACTAGACTAGAGAGAAGAGAATAGAAGCCTACCTAGAACATAAAAAGCAAAATAAAAGACAAAAGTAATGGGTCGAGAAAAAACCTAAGAATGAGATCATAGAATTGGAATAACATTTTGATTCATCAAGATCTATTCCGTACCAAAATTAAAGGTCCTAGTAAAGAAGATGGTGGAAGAAAACAAAGATGTCTAGAGTTATTCAATAAGAACGAAGCTCAATCTGCCCGTTTAGGACCTATTTGACTATTTTTCAGGAATATTATTGAGAACCAAAGCCTAATCACTCCTTTAATCCAAACAAAAATTAAGGAAGAAAAAAAGTGTTCATATTGAGTTTGTCATGTTTATATTGTAAGGGTATCAATAATTTATACTCTAATATATCTAATTCACTTCAGTTTATGAAAATTGTCTTTGACACTTAGTAAATTACTTTGATACCATGTACTAATCAAGAAAAGATGATTGATATCTTCCAAATACATATTGTATGAATATCAAATTATCATATGCATATTAATTAATTATACGGGTTAATAACTTTAATTGGGTATGATCATATAAAATCACAATACTAGTTATGAAAATAGATTTTATAAAAATAAATGTATTTTATAGAGATGTTATAAAAATTATATTATTTTTATTTATTTATAATAATAAAAAGTGATTATTAATTATTTATTTTTAAAATTTATGATACCTTGGTGAATATTTATTTTACAAAAATGATTTGATATTTACTTATTTCAAAATTTATGATATTTTTTTAATGTATCTTTGTATTATTATAATATTTTCTCTCATCTACTAGATCAGTTTATTTTCAAAAATTACTCAAAATATCTTTTTAAAATAGTCATATTTTTTAAATTTTGATTATTTTCAAAATTTTACAAATAGCATAAAACTTCTTAAAATAAATTTTTTAAAAATAAATAATTTTTTCATAAAAAAATTTAAACAAATAGGCCTATTATTACTTAATCGAACTTTATGAATGAAAATTTGATTAAAAATTTATCTATATTTTTTTCACCTTGGACTTAATATTATTTAAATTTATTAACTAAAATTATCACGAATAATAGATACTCTCATCATTTAAACAAGTGATTTGTATTTCAAACTTCAAAGTTGGGAGATGACTACTCATTATTCTTAATACGTTAGGGAGATTTTTTTTTTGCTTAGAGCCTGTAATTAGTACGCAACTATGCCTCGAATATTATTGTCTCGAATAAAAAATTACTTATGAATTTTTTTTAAAAAAAAACTTTATATCCACAATGATACATACTGCCTCCAGTTCTTAATATAAGACAAATTCTAAAAGTTTTGCCTAATTCTTAATCCATGACACCTTATAAAACTTGATGAAGCATATTAATGAGTTGTTTCAAAAAATGCCCATATACCAAATTAATTCATTTGGGTGGCATGTTTGACTTTAATTGTTAAAGGTAAAGTTAATAACTTTAATCAAGGTTATTTAGGATTTCTATAAAAAAAATTAAAAATGTCAAGACTCTTAATTAATTTTAACTGACTTTCTTAATCCGTGTGATTCAATTAAAATTGTTTTACAAATAAGATTGGAATGAGTATCAAATTCATCCACCTACTTGGTAAAACAAAAAGCTAATTTAATTAAGAGGATATGGCTTGGTTATTTGGGCTTTTCTATAAGTTTGACTTATTCAAGCTGCCTGAATAAATTTGATTCAAATTGAACTTGCCCTGTCCAAATTATCGATTCTAATTGTGGTAGAGCATGCTCCTTATGCTTAAAAATAATATTTAAATTTATATACATAATAATAAATATCAAATACCATTATTATCCCTATTTTATCTCTTGCAAAAAAAAAATCATCATCATCATCATCATCATGCCAATATTTTCATTAGAATGTTGAATTTTGTACCCGTCTCGGTCTCAATCAGCTTGGTTTCAACCCAATCATATCAAAATATATCTTTTTCGACTCAAAAAAAGTGGGAAGGGACTTTGCGAAATGGGGCAAAATGGGTTCGAGATAGGATAAAACATAAGACTACTTTTGGGATGTCTTGTCTTGTCCCATATATCATATATATATATATATATATATTATTTTTCTTTTAAAAATGGAAATTAAATATATTAATTATATTCATATAATTTATTCTTAAATTATTAGTTTCAATATTTGCAACCCTTATTCAAAGCTAAAAGTTCTTGATATTGATAATTTTAATGATACAGAGTAAACAATACAAGATAATTTATTTTTTATGATATGTTTATATTTATTTATTTGATAATTTTGCTTTATATTGTATTTCTTATTTTATTTTTGAAAGAATTAGCTTCAAATACTTCAACTAAAAAGGAATAAAAAGAATAACAATAACTTGATGTTGTGTATGATTTATCTATTGCTATTACTCTTGTATCCTAAAGGTCACTTATGGTTGCTGTCGTGATGTATTACTCCCTTCAATTCTATTTAGAGGTCAAACAAAAATAATTTTTTGGTCTCATTTATAAATTACATTATTAAATTTTTATTACAAACTTCCTTTTTTTACTTTCTACTGAATGTTAAAAAATAAAATATATTATTAAAGTATATATAATTAATAGAAATAAAGTTAACAATTTATTAAATTTTTAAATAGAATTAATGATATTTAAGATTTTTTTGGTGCTAATAAAATATTTTAAAAGTGACTTATAAATAAAAATAAAAAAAATGTGTTTTATATATTTTTAATTTTAAATTATAGACTTATAGTTGTAATTTTTTACGGTACACATGAAACAAAAATTCAACTCTCTCTTAACCACCCTAATTTCCATTTCTATTTTTGTCTAGCGGCATATCCAGAGGTGACTGTTCCAGGTAGCCGCTCGGAGGGCAAAAGTACGCTGGGTAACCCCTCCCAAGTTTTTACTGGCAACCTGCTGAACTAACCAATCCACCTGCGCCACGTCATCCGAGAGCTCGGCAAGTGGCCGCTGATCGCTCTCCACCGACCACATCCTTCAATGCCTTGACCGACGCGTGTCTCCTTTATCACCGGACACAGCCGGTGACAGAGCGCTGGATACCGTCACAGTCGGTCATTCTAACGCTGCCATTCCTGCCAGTGTTTATACAAGCAGCCTTCTAGAAACCCGTCTTCCTCTTTTCTCCGTGATTTTTCACTATCCTAATTGAGCTCTGGAAAAGCAACGTTTCGCTTTTTTCGTAGTTCGCGGTTTTGATGTGAGTTCCCTCTCTTTGGTTCGTCGTGGTTTTCTTGTTGTTTTCATGGGCACTGCTATACATGCTTCATTGGGTTTAATTTTAATTAATAGTGATCGATCTTTGAGCTGGGGATTTTTTTTAATATTTTCTTTCTTGTGATTCTTAAATAGGAAGTGCCCAGATTTCTTGTGGCATGTTCTTGATCTTTTGTTTTCACCAGCTTTGTGTTGCTAAACTAATTTTAATTTTGCATTTTTGGGGTATATGATATGAAAAATTTGAACCTTCTTTATTCGATTGTAGATATTTCAGGTTCAATCACAGCCTTTTAATTTTCTGAAGTTGGTTCAAAGAATGGGGATTTAGTTTGGTCATGAGTGAATTTGTAGTTTCTAAATACGGGCCTGCAGTTTGATCGCTGCTTGACGTTTTGAATGTATAGGACTTCGGATTTCGGGCTTTTAGCCAAGCCTAGCACATGTGGCTGTCCACGATATAAAAGTTAGGGTTTTTCTGGTTTTGTTCGTATTACTGCCATAAAATTGGATGATAAGGCATGGATCAATTGGTGGGTCTGTTTCCACTGTATGCTTTAGCAGGGTCTGAGTTTTTATCTAGCTGTATCCGTTTTAGCTGGCGTTTTCATAGTGCTAATGTATATAAATTGTTTATCTTTGTTACTCTTAGATCCACCATACGAACTGTCGAGAGTTTTGAGGAAGTAGGAACAATAACGTATTGAGCGCATTTGGTCGCATAATAATTTGTGGATTTACACAGAGTTTGTATGAATCCAGTGAAGTTGGGAATCAAGAGAAAGTAAAATCGAGGAGGTGTTTATACACAAGCAATCTGTTGCACCGAACGTGTGAAGTCACTCAAGAACATTTTATATGGTTTCCATGTATGTCTGTTCAGAATATTGACAAAAAACTCACGTAATTATAAGAAACAGTCAGGCCTGGCTCTGGAGAGCTTCTTAGACTCCAGTCACCAAGGGGCGGTGCCCCCCATGGCACCTTCTCGGGTGGCTGGAGGGTTAGCCCAATCATCATCAAATTCTGGAATATTCTTTCAAGGGGATGGGCATTCGCAGAATGTGGTTAACTCTCACTTAAGCTCCTCTTTTGGTAACTCGTCTAATTCAATTCCTGGAACTGGGCATTCAAATCTGGGTCCAGTTTCTGGGGACATAAACAATGCAGTTTTAAACAGTGTGGGAAATTCTGGACCAAGTGTTGGAGCGAGTTCTTTAGTCACAGATGCGAACTCTGCATTTTCTGGAGGCCCTCATTTGCAGAGAAGTGCAAGTATTAACACAGACTCTTACTTACGTTTACCTGCATCACCAATGTCGTTCTCATCAAATAATGTTAGTATATCAGGTTCGTCTGTCATGGATGGTTCTTCTGTGTTACAGCAAAGCTCCCATCAGGACCAAGGTGTTCAACAATTGCAGCAGAACCAACAGCCTCCACTGGGTGCTTCAACTTCTACGTCTTTGCCAATGTCTCAAACTGGCCTGGCTTCACTCCCGGTGGGTGCACGAGGACCTGGTTCTTTCGTGCAGGATGCAAATAATATGTCCCATCTACAAAAGAAACCCCGGCTGGATATAAAGCAGGAGGATATATTGCAGCAGCAAGTAATGCAACAGATTCTTCAGAGACAGGACCCCATGCAGTTCCAGGGTCGTCATCCACAAATACAAGCCTTAATTCAGCAGCAGAGATTGAGGCAGCAGCAGCAGCAGCACCAGCAAATCCTTCAATCGATTCCACAGTTACAGCGAGCCCAATTACAACAACAGCAGCAACAACAGCTGCAATTGAGGCAGCAATTACAGCAACAAGCAATGCAGCCCATGCCTTCCATGAAACGTCCATATGACAGTGGTGTATGTGCCCGGCGATTGATGCAATACTTGTATCACCAAAGGCAACGTCCAAGTGTGAGTTATTGCTTGTTTGCTACATGCCTCTCTGCTTGTTTTGTTATCTAAGGGGTATATGTGTTAAAATCTATATGAGATTCACTGTTTTCAATTTTCATTCCATTCGTTGTTTCTATTTTTAAAGTGTCCTGCTCATTAGTTAATGTAGTTATTGTAGTTATTGTGGCGCATGTGATTATTGTTGATACTTTGGAAGTGCTAAATTAATTACATTCCTTCATGGGGTGTATTGTGTGTGCCACAAACCACATGAAGATAGGGTCTGATATTAAAATTGATCCTGCTTAGCCTCAATATTTTGCTTGCCTCTGTTTCAGCTGTTTGTTTTTTAACCCAGTGGAGACCAGTAGTGGGTAGTAGTTGATTCACTAGCAGCACAGTATGGCACACCAACTTTGTCTGTGACGGCAGAAGTTCGTTCAGATCCATAGATTGTTTTGTTTACTTTTCTTCCTTCTTTTTGCCCTGCTTTCTCCCTGTTTCTTTATCAACTGATATTAATGCAAAGACCATAGCATATATGTACTTCTTTAAATAGTTTGAAGGATGGAAAGATCCTGGCAATTTCTTGTATGGCACCTGATACATGGGAATTAGGAATTAGGGGAATTAGGAATATAAGGTTAGTTTGGGTATTTTAATATACTATCTATAAATGGGTATTTAGGTTGTAATGACTCATTATGAATGCAATTAGTCTCTCTCTCTCTCTCTATATATATATATATATTTCCCTTCAGCCTCTTCTATCTCCCTTTTTCTCTTCTACCTCTATCAAAGGTATCAGAGCCTCCTCTTTGGCCATGGAGGAGACTCGGAGATTCGATCATCACTAGAGCATCGCCTTGATTTTAAGCAATTCATGTCTCAATTTCCCCAACAGATGAATGAAATATCAGCTAAGCTCTCTGTGCTTGTCAACCAGTGCCTGTACCCTACTTCAACTCCTTCAACAATGATGAACTCTGTCTCTACTATTGATATTCCTCTTTAGCTTTTGGTCACTAGACCAATGAGTTAGGATAGCTGAACAATGTTTCAACCATGAACAACTTTGATGACCAACTACAGAACATTAACATCAATGCAAAAACAATGGCAGAATTGAATGACATTGACGAAGATGAAGAAGAAAAACTTGAGAATGATGTTGAGATTGGTCTAATTTAGATTGGTAATGTTTTTCCATTCGAAGCGGCGGAAGTGCCTACATCAGCACTAAGCCAGCAAAATATCACTACCATTATGTCCAAGCATGGATGTAAAGTTTTTGCTGACACTTTTTTGGCCTTTGATGATAAACAGACCTATGTGGTGGATTAGTGGTGTTCTGTTCAAGGGATGATGTGTTCAAGGTGTTCTTGCTGACGTATAAGAACTTGATTCCGGCATGAAGGATGGTGTTACTATTGTATCACAACATCCTAGTGTACCAGTCACTCTTGATGTTGAAGTCCAACAATGGACTCTAGAACACTTTGGCTACTAACGAAGCTAACAAGTACGACTTAACGGTGTAGAATGGCGACATAGAGGTTAGGCTGAAGACCAAGGTTATGATGGTGGAAATCTCTAGTACTCTAATTGACAAGGAGCCTATGATGATTTACACTATCAATAATGCTCTTAGAGCTATTCAAGGTGGAGGCTCCTACTCCATCTCTAACACCGACACTTGAGCTTGCTACGGGTGACGCAACTGCATCACCAAAGAGTAAGAAGACAAAGGCAGTGCCAACACTTGGAGATTCACTAGATGACACTGTTGATCAAATGGTAGGCAGTGATGGTGGTGTGACAATTGACCTAGGAAGAAAGGTGTCTGAGAGGGATGCTCCAGAGCTGAGTTGGGCTGGAGAAACTTTGGGTTGGGTAGGTCTGAAGAAGATAGGTCGGGCAGAGTTTTGCAAGTGATCATGGCTTTAGGGTTTTCTTGGAAGTTTCTTGATTTTTATTCAACGATGAGGACGAGCCACTACAATTTTTTGCTCCAGGTTTTTTGCAAGTATTTTGAAAGGTCCCACAAGTGTGGTCCACGTGCCCATAATTTGCACCATATTGAAAATGGATTTAATGAAAGTGTGGTTAGACCTTCTTTGAACATGGGTTGGGCTTCACATGCAAGCAAGTTGGAGCAAATTCATAATGGGCTTAACTACAAGGCTGCTAGGCATTATGTTGATGATGTTTGTGCGTCTCAAGTATATATGAGCCTAAAAGCCTTTGTATGGAATTGGATTGTGAAGGTGGGGCTATGGGGTGTTCTTAAGCTTCAACAATGGGTCCCTCACTAGCCTAGGTGGCTTTCCATAATGGGCTTTTGGATTGAAGGATCGCTACAGAAAGTTTGGGCTTTTGATGTCCATTAAATTTGTTTAATTTGGAAATTATTTTCTTTTACAAGTTTTAGCAACTTAAGCTCCAAAAAAAAAAAAAAAAACAGAGAGAGAGAGGTCTTATTTTATATATATGTTTTACTTTCTGCTTTTGTACTGATCGTTGAGGACAAGGATCTCTTATTTGGGGGGGTTTTGATGCATGGGAATTAGGAATAATAGGGGTAATTAGGGGAATTATGAATACTAAGGTAGTTTGGGTATTTAAATATATTATCTGTAAATGGGCATCTAGGTCATGATGAGTCATTATGAATGGAATTAGTCTTTCTCTCCCTCTCTCTGTTTCCCTTTTGCCTCTTCTCTCTCCCCCTTTGTCTTCTACCTTTATCAGGACCTAATTTTGTTTGTAATCTCATGTACCAGAAAACATTAATTTACATATTTATTACCTTATAGGTGCTTGCATTGGAGTAGGTTATTAAAGAGAGATTGATGATTCCTACAACCATCAAGAAAATATGCGTATAATAATAAGATTTTAAAGATGTTTATTCTACTTCTAGTTTTGTAATTGTAAGTTACACATGGGCACTGTAAAAATTGATACATTATTCTTTTTTCAATTTTCATCAATACCAGTTTTTTCTGTCTACTAATGTGAATTATATTGAATGTATGTGTACTGCACTTGATGTTGCGATGCTCGTTGCAGTGTGCCATATGATCTGGCTGCAGTAGTTCTTCAACTGTGGGTCATATGCCATGAATTAGAATAATTGCTTTTTTTATATTTTTCTTTGTGCCAGGATAATAGCATTGCCTATTGGAGGAAATTTGTGGCTGAATATTACTCTCCACGTGCAAAGAAACGGTGGTGCTTGTCATTGTATGATAATGTTGGACATGCTCTTGGTGTTTTTCCCCAAGCAGCCATGGTTAGTTTTTGCACTGTCAGCTCAACCTTCTTTTCTTACATCACATAGTATGATGCATTAATGCGTTTTGATATTCAAATGCTTATTCGAACTGTTAATAGGTTGCATGAGCCCTATTATGTTATTAATGGCCATTTATTGGACATAAGATTTTCACCTGGTATTTTCTTGAGCATGAAAATGCCCAGACGCACAAACATGTATCATGTTTGCTTGGAACATGATTATATATTTATAATCTGCATTGTTTGGTCTTTTATAATGTGTTGCTATATTGGTGCATTTGATTTCTGCATGATCTTACGTGGGTATCTTTTTATTCAGGATGCATGGCAGTGCGACATATGTCATTCTAAATCTGGAAGGGGATTTGGTAAGATGAGAATGTTATTTTGTTATCCTATAATACTGTACTTTTTGGTTCACAAAAAAATTTATTTTTATTTTTTGGATTTAAATTCCAAATGCAGAATTTTTTTTTAACCATTAATCAGAGAAAATTTATTCAGAAGTTTTGGTTATTAAAGATGAGAATAATAGGAGCACGTTCAGTGTTTCCTTTGCTAACTACTTTGTCAGGATTATACTGTAAATTTTGACCTAATGTTCATCTTTTCTCATCCTGCAATGGGATTCCATTTGGCATAGAATATAGTTATGCAAGAAGAGCTTTCTAAAACCAAAATGCAGTTGTGGATGTATTTTGTTATTTAGCACTCAACCAAATTTTAGATCATAACTAGCGTGATGCTCAGACGCCCTTTTAAGTGTCAGGGATTATGGTTTGGGATACACTATTTTGCTTAATGTGTAGCACACGAGTGGCCATCTTGGTTAACAATCTAGGTCATGACACACTTGTCAAAAGTTGTCAAATGTTGCAGATTTCTAAATGAAAGTCCAGGACACTTAATCCATTTCCTTTTATCCAGTTACAGCTACTTTTCATAGCCGTTTGAAAGCAAATTGCTATACCTGTTAAATTGATTTTCTTGGGATTGATCATTAATAACTTGGATGTGTTATAGGTTTTTAAAAACCCCTAATATCTTCCAGGACACTTAATTCATTTCCTTCTATCCAGTTACAGTTGCTTTTCACAAACGTTGAAAGCAAATTGCTAGACCTGTTGAAGTGATTTTCTTGGGATTGATCAATAATAACTTGGATGTGTTTTAGGCTTTTAAAAACCCCTAATATCTTCCAAAAGGTTGGGAATTTTGATGTGGAAACTTAGTTAATAAAATCGAATGCCAGTTGTTGATTACCTAGTGACTAGAAATCACGAGTGAACAATTGCAGAAAGGAAGTTCCTTTGGATCAAGGATGTGTACTTTAATTATGCCCGTGAGCCAGATTTTAGCATCCTATATCTCCAAAATTTCTGATTGTATCACTATAATGATATTTACTTTCTGGTTCTGGTTAACAGAGGCAACTTTTGAAGTACTTCCTAGACTTAATGAAATCAAATTTGGCAGTGGAGTCATCGATGAGCTTTTGTTCTTAGACTTGCCTCGTGAGTGTAGATTTCCTTCTGGTGTAATGATGTTAGAGTATGGAAAAGCTGTTCAAGAAAGTGTCTACGAGCAGCTTCGAGTTGTTCGTGAGGGCCAACTTCGTATTATATTCACACAAGACTTGAAGGTCATAACATCTTAAATATATCTAGGCATGTGGTGTAATCTTTATGCATTATGATGACCTATTGATACGCTAGTTCCTATGCAGATCTTATCTTGGGAATTTTGCGCCAGGCGTCATGAAGAACTTCTTCCTAGAAGGTTGGTTGCACCACAGGTATGGCTCTGCTTCCTTAACCATGTCATTGCTTCATCTGGGCAGCCATTCAAATGCAGGATGTTGGACTTTTCAGACTAACTTTTAGTCTGGCGATCTTTATATATGTATGTCCAATATCCATGTGCTTTAATATGTTTGAGTGATATATCATGTAAGTTATTTAGATGTAAGTTATTTAGAATTTAAAACCAGCATAGGCCCATGCAAAATGTAATAGCAGCAGCAGCAACAACAACAACAAAAACAAGCTTTATCTCACTTGGTAAGGTTAGCTATATGAATTGTACAATGCTGTTATGCTCTATCATTAATCAAGCTTTTAGGAATGCAAATTTTATTTTAGTAGTAATTATACAGAGTCAATAGATTTAATTTCTAAATATAAAGATAGGAAAGTTTTAATAGGAAAATTATTTTCAATAAAAAATTAGAGAAGTTTAACTTTAACTAGAAAAAGTTATGTTCATAAAAAATACAAGTTAACAAAGTTATCTAATAAAATAGTTAAGTCTTGAATTTAAAATATTATGAGTTATGTTTGTTTATTAGATACTAAGTTGTTATAAGTATATCAGGTTTGTGTCTCTACATCATAGTATTTTCTTGAGCCTCTTACCTTAAGCTCGCTTCAAGCATTTCACTGGGGCATCTTTTTCACCTTGGACTATCTTGATGGGAGCATTAGCACAAATAAGGAGGGTGGGTGAAATAAAGGGAGATCATGGGAGGCAAGTTGGCATGGATTTGGAAATATATCGAGAATATTCTAGATAAGGAAGGAGATCATGTTGCTGTCTAACTATGCTTAGGCTATATTTGGTTTGTAGAATTATAGGATGGGCAAAGGGAAGGAGAATGATAGTGTGGATTGAAAATGATCCCTGTGCTCTTATAGAAAAATGGTAATAGAAAGGAGACAAACACTGATGAGTTATGAAAACAAAAGTAAGATAACATGAACTATTGGTGCCTTATTTACTCTGATTCCATTCCATTTCCCTTTTCATATAGCAGCCAAGCATAGCCTTATCTTTGTGGTCTCTCTCATGAAATACATCTTGATCTTCTTTCTGATTTATTAGATTGATAGATTGATTTGTTCTATTTGTTTGTCTGCCTTTGTATTATCCTAGGAAAGAAATGTACGTGAGTATTGATGGAATGTGATTAGTCAGAAATAAATTAAGAAAGGCTTTTTGGTGGATGAATTAATTTTTTAAGCATATTATTGATAATGATAATATTTTAATTTTTTTCCAATGCATAATATTGTGTATGTTTCAAAGTGATCCTAAGTGTACCAACTAGGAATAGGTCATCATATTGCAAAGTGTAAAACGTTCAATGTACTTGTATTATTTGCTCAAACCATAGCATTTCATCAATCATGTAATACTGTTTTACTGTAATATTTTTTATGGGAAGGCATAACTTTGAGCTCTTATACTTTGCTCGCATTTTGCTATAGGTGCCTACACTTTTTTCAGTATTCTAGATCCCTATACTTTTGTTTTCTTGTGTTCTAGGTCTTTAAATGAACAAAGTGTAGGGACCTAGGACATTAAAAAAAAGTATAAGAACCTATAACAAAACATAAAAAAGGTGCAGGGACCTAAAGTGATGTTTTCCATTTCTAATCTAGTGTATTTAATCCTGCTGAGTCCGGTAAGGTCAATAGCAAGGACATTTTGTGTCATGCAACTATTGAAGTATGATATTGCATTTCTAACCTGAGGTTCCTTATTAAACTGGGACATTATAGATGCTGGAATCTATAATCTAGTGTTGTTTAAGTGCATTACAATGAGAGATTCATATTTTCTGAAAGTATGGGCAGATATAGTTATAGCATACATGTGGTACTCCATGTATGCCTCTCATGACCTGGGTCGTTTTGAGATTCCCATGATTAATCATTTGAAGATTAGAAGGTATTATTTTGGAAGTTAGGTCTTATAGCTCATGCTTTTACAGGTCAATCAGTTGGTCCAGGTTGCACAAAAATGTCACAGTACAATTTCTGAAAGTGGATCTGATGGGATTTCTCAGCAGGATTTGCAAACAAATAGCAATATGTGAGTAATGCATTGCTTATATTACCTGGATTGACATATTTAGCAAATCTTTTTGCTCACATATCCTGATTCCATATTTGATATTTGATATTGTGATAAGCTCATAATAGGAAATACGGTGGTCTATTTTTGTCCGGTTGTTGGGAACATGGAGCCTTAGGATAGAAGAATGGTAGACATGCTTATCATAAATTCCTTACCAGAAAAGGAAATAAAAGATCTTATTGGATTAGATCCATACCTCATTTTGTCTGGACACTCTATAGGCTGCATGTGACCTCAGATGTATCATTTTATCTGCATAAAGCAGCCAGTGTTCTAATGCTAGATTGGTGACCAAAAATAGTGGATCAAGATGGTGAATTATGCTCAACCTTGATTGTTTAGTGGTATCAATATCATCATCAAGTCTCAATATTAAATATGCCAATTATAGAGAGTCACGCTGTTCACAAGTTGTGAGTGAGAGTATGAGACTCCTCTCACAAAACTAGTTTTGGAACCAACATTCACTTTTTCTTGTGTTGCTTCAATCTTTCTGCACTCCTTACTACAAAGTTTAAACATTAAAGATTAAAAAATTGCTTTTTCCGGTTTTTGCCAATAGATACAAAAAAAATGGATATAATTTTCATGAAACTTTAAATTTAATATTGTCCGTGCTTAGTGGGGCAAGGCTTGGTGGTGGTGGTGTTGTGTTAATATATTATTTATATTACCATATCTTTCCATAACGTATGGAGAAAGGACATCTAATTAGCTAAAGTATTACAATTTTTCCCCCCATAAAAAAAGGGAAAAAACTAAAAAAAAAAAATGATCAAGCTGTTCTTCTTCACACTAGGGTGTTCACTGCTGGGCGTCAGCTTGCTAAGAGTTTGGAGTTACAGTCACTAAATGACTTGGGTTTCTCCAAAAGATATGTGAGGTGCTTGCAGGTAAACTATAAGATGCGCACTTAATGTTTACTGTTTAGCAATAAAAGTGAAAAACTTTCTTTTTGGATCAAGTCTTTTGATTACAGCCTGCTGCAATGACTGACAGATATCTGAGGTTGTAAATAGCATGAAAGATCTGATGGACTTTTGCCGGGAGCAGAATATTGGGGCAATTGGTAATTTTCTTGTCACCCGTTTTAACTAAATTACTTTTTATTGTATTCGAAATCTGTTTCAAATCATCAATTGCCATTCTTGTTACCCTGTCTTGAATCTCCTGACTTGTTTCCAGAGGGCTTGAAAACTTATCCTCGCCAAGCAACAGCAGCCAAGCTCCAGATGCAAAAGATGCAGGAGTTAGAACAACTAGCAAGTGTTCAGGGTCTGCCGACTGACCGAAACACTCTCAATAAGCTTATGGCATTGCATCCTGGGTTGAACAATCAAATGAACAACAATCATAATATGGCTAATCGCGGTGCTTTAACTGGGCCAGCACAAGCTGCTTTAGCCCTGACCAACTACCAGAATCTTCTCATCAGGCAAAATTCTATGGGTTCAAATTCTACCTCGCTCCAGCGAGAAGGATCAACTTCCTTTAATAATTCGGCTCGGAGCCCATCTACAACCTTGCAAGGTTCTGCTACTGGTTTAATACCTGGCTCCATGCAGAATTTACCTGTTAGCAGTCTCTCAAATCCCCATCTAGCCCAACAGCAGCCGCAAAGCCAACTGCAACAACTTCAACAGCGCTCTCTAAGTCCCAATAACATGCTTCAACAAAGCCATTCACAGGGCTCTGAAGGAAGTAATGCTCTGCAACAGCAGATGTTCCAGCGACTGCTGCAAGAGGTATCAAATAACAGTGGCGGAGGAATGCTACCCCGGCCCCTTGCTGGAGCCAATGCAAATGGGAGTATGGCAAAGAATGGAGTAAATGGGGTCAGCGCCAATGTTTCAGGAACCAACGGACCGGCCCCCAGCAGGAGCAACAGTTTCAAAGCTGCTTCAAACAGTGATTCTTCTGCAGCTGGTGGCAACAACGGATTCAACCAGAGACCTGATATGCCACAGAATCTCCACTTACAAGAAGATGTGGTTCATAACATCGCCCGTGAATTCACAGATAATGGCTTCTTTAACAGTGATCTGGATGAGCACATGGGTTATGGCTGGAAGGCATGACTAACATGTAACTTCTTTTCCTGTAACTGGCTTTTCTTGCCAAGTGTTTAGCATGATATCTTTGTATAGGATAATTTGAATAGCTGCTCCGTTCCCTTAGCTTTGATTTCCTTGCTCGTTTTCACGATGGTGGAATTTGCTGTGACATGATGACGCACTTTGGATAGGGTATTTAGGGATCTTATTTGAGGGTTTTTTTTTTTTTGTCTCGCCTGCAAGTGTAATCTATTGGACGATTCAATGAACAGTTGTCAGCTTAGTATGAATACACTTAGATGCTTTGTTACCTTGTTTTCCTTTTAGCCAATCTTTGTGCAACCAAGTTTATATCCATGGAGAAGACCCTACCTCTCTTTGCTTAAAGTGACTTGACGCAGTTCTGAGCAACATATTCACCAGTTATCAGGGAAAGAAATTTGAGAGAGAGAGAGAGAGACTCATGGACGCATTTGACTTCGGTGATTTCCTTTGAGACGGGTCTAGCGGGCTTTTTGTTGAAAATTACTTTACTTTTTCCGTGGTGTTACATGTGCAATTTGGCTGCTTTTTCATGTTGAAAGGAACTGTCACTTTAGGGATTTTTTTTAATGATTTTTTAAGATCGTGGTAAGTTCAAGTAAACATTATATTTTAACCATTTTACCCTCCATCTATTTCCATTCTTTATTGATCAACTCCAACTCACGAAGCTTTGATTCCCTGTGCAATTTGGTGTTTTTGGGTTTTTCTTTTATATGATTTGATTGGTTGTGATTTAGGTGATGCTTCTTTTATCCATTGTGATTTTTTTTTTTTAGGTTGAAAAAGATTTTTATTTTTTCGTACTTTTTTGGTTAATGCTAATGTTATATAGTAGTGAATGTTGGGCTTTAACGGGACAATAAGAACATAAAAGTGGAGTAGTGGAGATGAGAATGTTACGATGGATGTGTGGACATACACGTAAAGATAAAATTCAAAATGAGCACGAACGCAAAAAAATGAGGGTAACACCTATTGAGAAAAAAATAGTAAAAAATCAATTGAGATGGTTTGGGCATGTACAAAGAAGATCAAGGGAGGCACCAGTGAGAAGAATGAAACATATAATTTTGAGTCCGATTAAGAGGGATAAATGAAGGCCTAAAAGAACACTCTTGGAAGTTGTTGAATGTGATCTCTTAATTAATAATATTCCTAAAAGCTTGATAAATGATAGAGCATAATGGCGTCTTGCAATTCATTTAGCCGACCCCATCTAGTGAGATAAAGGCTTGTTGTTCTTGTTGTTGTTGGTTAATGCTAATATTAATCGTGGTTTAGCTTCTTATTTGTTGTCGCTTGCTTCTTGTTGTTGTTGTTGTTATTATTATTATTATTATTATTATTATTATTATTATTATGGCTTGAATGTTGTGGCTTGGTTTGAAGGGAGAGCAAAGTGAAGAGCAAAGTGAAGGAAAAAAAAGAAAAGAAAAGAGAGGAAGCTAGGAGAAATCTCTAAAAGTAGTTAATTTTTTTTATTATTTTTAGGAGTTTTCTTTCTTAATTTTTTCATCTAAACAAATGGTTAGTGTATTGAATGATAATGATGTTATACTCTCCATTTCAATATAATTCGCACTTTCAAGTTTTCATGATTTTTCAAGACCATGGTTGCAGACCCCCCAAAAAAAAAAGATACATTAGCTTTATGTTTTCACCATTTTACCCCTCATATTCTCTCCATTTTTGCAATACATTATGAAAGTTCGAACCATTGATTTCTTTTCACATCCTAACCCACCCGTTAGTCTCACGTGGTGTCTCAATATTCTCGATGCTCATCCCCATTTAAGATTAGTGGTGGAAAATTAAGAGGGTACTCTATCTAAACAGGGTATTTTAGAAAATGATTAAAATATATTTTTTATCCTCTAACTTTATATAAAGTTTTAAGTTGATCTTTTAATTTTATAAAGTATATTTTTAGTCCTTTAATTTTAATACCGTTAGTTGTAAATGATTATTTTTATATCAATTATTATTATTATTAAAAAAATTTAATTTAATAAGTCAACATTTGAAATTGTTTTATCAATATTTTAAAGTTTAATATTAAAAATTTTGTGATAAAACTAATAGTGAGAGAGAGAGAGAGAGAGAGATTAAGAATGAAAATATACTTTATAAAATTAAGAGATCAAAATAAAACTGTGTAAAGTTAAGGAATTAAAATATTTTTTTATAAGACTAAAAATATCCTTTAGTCTTATAAAATTGATATTAAATGAAGCTTATTGTAAGATTTTATTGATAAGTATTTTTTAATTTAGAATATAATCTAATTTAATAATATTCTTGTGAAAATCTGAAAGTGGCAGTCAATTAATACACTTATGTTTTATGATGGGCTCTTGTATAACTCCTTTATGTAATGCACTTGTCATAATAATTAACTTCCATCTTAGTATTTTACAATAAATAACGGCTAAAGTATATATTTAGTCCTTTAATTTTATACAATATTTCATTTTAGTCTCTTAATTTTATCAAGTATCTTTTAGTTTTTAAATCCTAACACTATTAGTTTTATTCCAACAAATTTTTATATTGAACTTTCAAATATTGATAAAATATTTTTAAATATTGACATATTAAGTTTAGTTTTTTGAAAATAAAAATGATTGAAACAAAAAATAATAATTTAAAATTTAAGATATTAGGATTAAAGGACTAAATTAAAGGATCAAATTAAAATTTTATATAAAGTTAAAAGATTAAAAGTATACTTTAGTCATAAATAATTAATTACATAGTGAGGGTGTTGCAGCTTGCAATAACCTAAATGCTCTCTTACTTACCTTATAGTACATAGAGTTTAATTTGGTCGAACAACCTCCTAATAATGGTAAGATTGGAACCTAAAGATATAAAATCATATTCACGCGCTTCACATTTTTGTCACGTTTAGGCTAAGTCTATCAATGTTATCTAAAGTAACTTAGTAAATTACGTGCCTCACAATTAATCAAAATGATGTCTTATAATTGAAATTAACAACACAAACAAGAATGAATGAATTAATGACAAACATATATGGCACTTTTATAACATAACATAAAATCAAATTATTGTCGTGCACTAAGTCACAAATTGAAAATATGAAGATTATTATTTAAAGAGTTAAAAAGGCACAATGGATAACCAATTATGGTTAGAATGAGTGAAAGGCACTTCATCTCTTAACAAAAGTTGATGGTTCAAATCTTATAGATAGAAAAAATTATGTTTGAAGAGCTATTTTTAATTGGATTCATCAATACTTGAATATGATCTAATAATAATAATAATCAAATGTTATATAATTGTAGAAGTACTGAAAACGTAATGGTTATTAAATTGATATAAAAAGTGGTTTAATGGTTAATGGTCCATTATGCTTGAATCGAGGATCAACCGAAAATCATGGTTAAAATAAAATAATTTAATTGAAATATATAAAAATATTTATATATAACCTTGAAGAGAGTAATATTTAAATAAAAAAAATACATTAATCCACAACGAAATAGAACATTTATATACAAACCACATAGAATCTCACCAAACAAAGCGTTTGAAGCACAGATCTAAAGAGACTGATATTTTTTAACTTAAAAAGATGTCGTTTCAAGTTAAGCAAGAGGAGAAAAAAGTATAAAATCCTACCCGATTATTTGTTTAAAACTTTTTACCGAACTGTCCAAAAAATTGGTTCATTGATTCATTATGTTATGACCAGCCAATCCATATTGAGTTTTAATACCATGCAATTGTATTTTAAGAAAAAATGCAAATGCACATGCTCTACTCTTATTTTCAAGTCAATATTTTGTTCGATTAAAGTTTTTGAAATGAGAACATTAATATTGTAAATATTGCACTTTTCTTTTATTATATTTTTTCGATAAATTTTTTTAAGAGAATGGTGATGAAGCACATTATTTCTCAATACATATTCAAGGAAGAATATTACAATAAGCTAATAAAGATTGATTTGATTAATAAAAAATTGACCTACAACATATAAAGTTATGAATTCAAATCTCGCTTGTCAAGGTCTTGTTTATTGACCATATGTAATTATCTCAATAAGCCTTTTTTGAAGGATTAAGGGGCAAAAGTGCCACAGAAGTTTTCTTAAAGGAGTTATGATATTGTTACATTTTAAAATGAGCAAAATATCGCCTTGGAAGTTTAGGAAAAAAACAGTGCAAATTTACTCCATTGTTAACCTAAACTAACGTTGACTGTTAAGTCTCTTGTTCTAACCAATAACTTGACACGTGTCTTTCTTTCCTTCTTGTTGAATTGTTCTTCTTCTCTTCCTCTCTCTGGCTTCTTGTGTTGTTCTTTTTTCCCCCAGCCATGACTTGTCGTGTTCTATTTAATAATTTGTCTAGCTCTGCATCACACATTTGATGGTTACCTCAAGGAGATGGAATTGAGAGGCTAGTTTTAGAAGTGCCTTGAGATGGAAGTTGAATGATTGTTCTTGTAAGGTCTCCTTTACTAATCTCCATTTAACTTCAAAAATTAAGGTAGTCGAGGGACTAACTCAAAAGAATTACTAAGTTTGTAAATTTTGCAAAACAAAATCCCAAGTTTTCAAAACTTTCACAACATTCTTCTACACACTTGTATACAAATCAAAGTAAAATAATTTCAAGAAAGTATGGAATATAGTTTTATAACATAGCATTTGCATTTCGAATAAGAAAGTAGCTTTTCAGTACAACTACAATTGAGTATTGGGGAAAACCACAGAACATAAATGAGTGAGTTAACCCTAGCTTAGTAGCTTCTCACAAGTGAAAGGTTGAGTTAGTTTGTGTTATAGATGTAGCCAGTGGATAGCCACCAGTTTTATGTTGGAGGTAATAAGAGAGTATAAAGTTGGCATTGATCATGCATTCCATTATTAGCCTTGTGGTTGTTATTATTGTGATTGATGTATTTTCACTAGGCACATATGGTTGTTATTATTGCAACCCTGAGATGTGCATTTTTCAAATATATGTGATGATATGTGTTGTAAGCCCAGTCATAACCTCAGTCACATGGTTGTTATTTTTGTGGGTGAAGCTATACTTGAAATATGTGCATATGATGATTGTGTGTTTATTGCCATTTGCATCTTTAATTAATTGATATGCAATTGTATAGGATAGATTGTAACACTTGCCCTGAGTGTTATCCGAAAATTACATAATTCAAATAAATTAAGTGTGGTTAAGGAGTTGATCCTCTAACCAACTTAAGACATAAATCATTTAAAACTTTAAA